CCCCAAAACCCCAAAACCCCAAAACCCCAAAACCCCAAAACCCCATTTAAGAAAGCCAGGATTGAAATATAAATAAATATGGAGAAAGTATTGAATAATCTAGAGAGTCAGCCCAAGTCAAGTGAGCTTGCACAAGAGACGTCAAAAGCTAAAAAATCTAGCTATAAAGGCAATTATCCCTCTCTAGCCAACCTCTGGCACCTCACCACCTTCTAGACACAACCTCCGGCATGGTTAGGAGACTTTCTCCCCTCTCTTCCTACCAAAAATCCCTCATTTAACACCATCCTAACCAGTCTATCTAGACTCACAAGGCACCGTCCATAAGAACTACTGGAGACAAAGCAGGGTTAGAGAAGACGAAGAGAAGTTTATAGCCAAAGCGTATGCTAATAGTTATGTCAGGACTATCGGTACTGGCTTGGTAGAGTAATTTTTAGAGAAATTTGATAAATAAGCCCAAGCATAATTTCTTTGCAGTCACCCTTGAAGAGAGCAAAGCCTTGGAGTTTTTGAGGTTGTTGGAACCGTTAGGACTGCCAAAGCAAGATGATGCATACATTTCCAGGTTTCCTAAAAACTCTTTGCAACTAAAGAAGTCGCTGAGTTCATCAGTTCCAAGTAGAATGAAAAGAGTATACCTGAACGCAGATTCGCCCTCTATGATTAAGATAACCCCTTATTTTAACCAGATCCTTGAGATCAGCAACAAGACGACTCAGAGGATTGTGCTTTCAAATTTCCTATTGAATGAAAGACAGATTCGCAGATTTTTATTTGCTAACAGAAATAAGAAGTTCATTAATTTCTGTAATTGAGAGATAGTACTTCCAAGTGTCCCTCCAAGCGGATGGCTGCCATCTAGCCAGATCGAGAGATTTGGGATCTTTATAACAGGTACCTTAAATAGAAACTACTTCTACTCTGATCATGACAATTTTGAAAACTTTGTGGCTGGCTTAGCCAACCAAGAAGAATTCACAAAGAACTTAATCAAATTCGAGACTGATGACTACAAAATCGGTGAAGAGACCACCCTCGAAATCCTCTCCAAATATGGATTTTCTTAATCAAAACCCACCCTATATCCAGCACTCACCAACATCAATCCAAAAATACCTAAAAGGGGTTTTGGGGTTTTGGGGTTTTGGGGTTTTGGGG